ACACCAATTAATCAATATGAATTTGACACACATGGTTTCTCAGGCATCAGGCAAATCATAATAGTCCTGATCCAGGTTAAGCTATCCTGCACAATTTATTGTCTACTTCAGGGGTTGTTGGCAAACTTTCTTAAATGGACAAACATTAAATATTCTAGTCCTCAGGATCATAAAGTCTTTGTCACAACTATTCATTCAATCCTGTAATGATGGTACAAAAGCAGCCATAGACAATACATAAAAAATGGACATGAATGTGTTCCCAATAACTTTCATTTACTAAAACAGGACACTAGTCCAATGGATTGCATAGTCTAGTGGGTAATAATGACAATTAACCAGGAATCTAGGGTACAGTGTGATAAATCTTATAAATGTGGAAGGAGTTAAAAGGTTCAAGAAGCTGCCTCAGAAGATGTAATGCCTGAAAATCAATGACCTAAACCTCTATCTCAACAAATTAATCCAAAAGATATAAGGCAGAAAATAAGATGGCTGGGAATATAAATTAAGGAAATAAAAACACATGTACAAGAGAGGAGCACAATAAAGAAAATGGTTGGTTCTTTAAAAAAAGACAAAAACAAAACTTTTCTAGTAGATTGATCAAAGGGAAAAAAAGGAAAGGCACAAATAACCAATATCAGGATGACAACAGGATGGGGGGGGAGGGACTATATACACGGTGATGATTGAAAGATAAACAGAGGAGATTTGACAACCTAGATGAATAAACAAATTCCTAGAAAAATAAAACACACAACACACAAGAACAAATAGAAAATCTGAATACTCCTCTAGTTGTTAAATGAATTAAACTCATAATTTTAAACGTTCCCACAAAGAAATTTCCGGATTCAAAAGGGTTCACAGATTAATCCTACTAATTTTCTAAGGCAAAGTCATGCCAATGTTATACAATTTCTTCCAAAGAATAGGAAAAGAGGGAATACTTCTCACATCATTTTATGGACATTGGTCTAGAAATTTGAGATGGACATTATGACAAAGTAAAAGAGAAGGCTAATCTCTCCCATGAACATAGACACAAATATCCTAAAAAAATTTAGCAAACTAAATGTGTTGAGATATTTATGTATGTCATAATAGATCATGAGCAAGGTGAGATAATTTAGGAGGCAATGTTAATTTAAAACTGGAAAATCTATATAGTTTGCAATGCTAAAGGAATGAAAGGAGAAAACTTATGTATACAGAAGAAAATTTAATAAATTTCAATATTCATTCATGATAAAAAAAACTCTTAGCAAAATACAGATAAAAGGAAACATCCTCAATCATTTTAAACCCATTGCCATTGTGTTGATTCCAAATCATAGGGATCTCCATGGAGTTCTGAGGCAGTAAATCTTTACAGAAGTAGATCGCCTCATCTTCCTTCTACAGAGTGGCTGGTGGGTTTGAACCGCCAACCTTCTGGATAGTAGTCAGCCTTAGAAGAGACCTAAAAAATCCTAGAGCAAATATAAAACTAAGTGTTACAGTTTTCTTTTTGAGATCAGGAACAAGATTATAATAATGGTACTAGAGGTACATATGTGAAGTAAGTTAAGAAAAACAAATGAAGGAATAAAACTGTTATTATTCTCAAGCAGTATTACTGAATGCAGAGAAAACTCAAAGGAATCAATAAATAATTACAAACATGTCAATGTGGCAAGATTGCTAAAAACATGGTTAATATAAAAAATAACTTCATTTCTATAGACTGACCTTTTCTACTCAAAAGTGTAATCCTTTGACCAGCAGTATTGACATCACCTGAGAGCTTGTTAGAAATGCAGTTTTATGCCCCAAAATAGGACAATAGGTCTACTGGAACAGAATCTGCATTTTCACAAGTTCTTCAGGTGATTGATGTTGTTGTTATGTGCCATCGAGTCAGCTCTGACTTGTAGCAACCCTATATACAACGGAACGAAACACTGCCTCGCCCTGTGCCAGCCTCACAATACCTGCTATACCTGGGCCCATCATTGCAGCCACTGTGTCAATCTGTCTTGTTGAGGGCCTTCACCTTTTTCCTTGACAAGCCACTTTACCAAGCATGATATCTTTCCCCAGGGAATGGTCCCTTCTGACAACGTGACCAGAGTAGGTGAGATGAAGTCTGGCCATTCTCGCTTACAAGGAGCATTCTGGTTACACTTCTTCCAGGACAGATATGTTAGTTCTTCTGACAGTTCATGGTACTTTCAGTGTCCTTTGCCAACACCACAGCTCAAAAGCATGAACTCTTCTTCAGTTTTCTTTGTTCACTGCCCACCTCTCACATGCATATGAGGTGACTGAAAACACCATGGCTTGGGTTAGGCACATTTTAGTTTTCAAAGAGACATCTTTGCCCTTAAGCCTTTAAAGAGGTCTTTTGCAACAGATTTGCCAAGTGCAATACATCATCTGATGTCTTGACTGCTGCTTCCACTGGTGTTGATTGTGGAACCAAGTAATATGAAATCTTTGACAACTTCAATCTTTTCTCCATTTATCGTGGTGCTGCCTATTCGTCCAGTTGCGAGGATTTTCATTTTCTTTATGTTTACTTGTAAAGACTCTAGTCTTTAATCTTCATCAGTAAATGCTTCAAGCCATCTTCACTTTCAGCAAGCAAAGTTGTGTCATCTGCATATTGCAGGTTGTTAATGAGTCTTCCTCTAATCCTGACGCCACACTCTTCTTCATATAGTCCAGCTTCTCAGATTATTTGTTTAGCATACAAATTGAATAAGTATGGTGAAAGGATACAACCCTGATGCACTCCCTTCCTGATTTTAAACCTTGCAGCATCCCCTTGTTCTATTCGAGTGACACCCTCCTGGTCTATGTACAGGTTCCTCATGAGTATAATTAAGTGTTTTTGAATTCCCATTCTTCTCATTGTTACCCATAATTTGTTATGATCCACACAATCAAATGATTTTGCATTGTCAATAAAACACAAGTAAACATCTATCTAGTGTTCTTTGCTTTCAGCCAAGACATATCTGACATCAGCAATGATATCTCTTGTTCCACATCCTCTTCTGAATCCAGCTTGCATTTCTGGAAGTTCTACCAGTTTTGAATTATTTTCAGCAAGATTTTACTTGCATATGATATTAATGATATTGTTTGATAATTTCCACATTCTGTGGGATCACCTTTCTTTGGAATGGGTACAAATACGGATCTCTTCCAGTTAGCCAGGTTGCTGTCTTCCAAATTTCTTGGCATAGACAAGTGATTGCCTATACTGTGGCATCAGTTGTTGAAACATCTCAATGGGCATTCCATCAATTCCAGGAGGCTTGTTCTTTGCCAGTCCTTCAGTGCAGCTTCACCTTCTTCCCTCAGTACCATTGGTTGTTGATCATATACCACCTCCTGAAATGGATGAACATCAACCAATTCTTTTTGGTACAGTGATTCCGTATATTCCTTCAATCTTCTTTTGATATTTCCTGCATCACTCAATATTTTACCCATAGAAACCTGCAATATTGCAACTTGAGGCTTAATTTTTTTCCTCAGTTCTTTCAGCTTGAGAATGCCAAGCGTGTTCTTCCCTTTTGGTTTTCTAACTCCATGCACATTTCATTATAATAATCGACTTTGTCTTCTTAAGCTGCTCTTTGAAATCTTCTGTTTAGCTCTTTTATATTGTCATTTCTTCCATTTGCTTTATCTACTCTTCATTCAAGGACAAGTTTCAGAGTCTCTTCTGACATCCATTTTTGTCTTTTCTTCCTGTATTGGTTACCTAGTGCTGCTGTGACAACAATATACCACAAATGGGATGGCTTTACAAACAGGAGTTTCTTTTCTTACAGTTTGGAGGCTTTAAGTCTGAGTTCAAAGTGCCAGGCTCTAGGAGCTGTATGAAAGCCCCTCGACCTTGGGCTTCAGCTCTGCCTCTTGTTCCCGGCCCACTGAAGCTAGAAGCATTTCTTCACTCAGGCAGCTATTGGCTGCTGAGGCCAACAAGCCCAAGGTTAACAAATAAAATGCCACAGTCTTGTATTACCAAATAACATGGCAGGCCACTGGTTCAAGTCCAGATGAAGTCTCAAGATCATCAGGGCATAGCAGGCTGTTGAACAACAACTTGGCTATATGCAGGGTTCAGGTATGCCAAAAGGCTGGAGACCATTTCCAAAGCTGTTTCCTATATACTGGAAGCAGACCACATCCCTAAGGCAGCTACTCAGTTGCTCACAGTAGACTCCACCATGGAGCTGATTACCAATCACATCATGGAGAATACTACATCCAGCTGCCCAGCCACTCAATCAGGCCCAGCCAAGTTGACATACAACCTTAACTACCACACTTCCTTTCTTGTCTTTTTAATGACCTTTTTCTTTCTTCATGAATGACGTTCTTGATGTCATCCCAAAATTCCTCTGGTTTTTGGTCATTGGTGTTCAATACATCAAATCTATTCCTTAGATGGTCTGTAAATTCAGGAAGGATATAATCAAGGTCATATTTTGGCCCTCATGGACTTCTTTTAATTGTCTTCAGCTTCAGCTTGAACTTCCATATGAGCAGTTGATAGTCTGTTCCACAATCAGCTCCTGGTCTTGTTCTGGCTAAAGATATTGAGCTTCTCCATTGCCTTTTGCTACAGATGACATAGATCTGATTCCTGTGTACTCCATCCAGCAAAGTACACATGCATAGCCACCATTTA